TCAATATTGTCTAGTGCTACAATAAAATTGAACCCAATTGATAGTGGTAATAATAATTATAATAAAGATATTTTATCTTTATTAAATATTTTAAATAAAAATTGAAGTAAGATAAAAACCATACACAGTTAAAACAAATTTCTCGCATCATATATAAATTTTATAAAACCAAAAGAAAAAAATAAAGGATGCCAACGGCACGTAGTGTTCCCAAGCGGTCACCCATCCAAGTACTAACTACGCCCGACGTTGCTTAACTTCAGTGATCGGACGAGAACTGGTGTATTCAACGTGGTATGGTCGTTGGCGATGGTTATGATGAGTACAGAGTTATTTATTATTGATCATCGTTTACATTTTAAAATTAACATATCGTATGGATTTTCTATTCATAATTTATCTATGATGTTACTTGATCTGGTGACATTTACAAAACATTAATACAACTAATAACAAATATTTTATTTACTTGATTTTTTTATTTTAATTTGCAATATCTACACTTATTTATGTCGTTTTTTTTACACTCCATATTATTTCCATTGTTTTTTTCCTTTTACCTATTTTGTTTTTATTTATTTCTAATGTTCGATGATTTTATAAATGATTTTTTTAATTTTTACTTAGTTTAACTTTTGTTGTATTTGTATAATAGAATACTTATAAACCATTTGTTTATTTATTAATAGTGATGTGAGTTTGTATTATACAGTGGTATAAAACTGTATTATACAAGGTATTATACACATGGTATCAAATTATTTTATACAGACAGTATAAAAAAAATGAAAGCGTTATTTTTAATTGTTTTTAGTAGCTCAACTATTAATTTTTTAGTTGTACTTATAAGATGGATCTTCAATAAAATACAGTATTATTATAAAAATTAAAAATATTCAATATTATTGTAATCGTATTAATTTAGAATTCAGATGTTAAAAATTACTAAAATCAATTTATTGTACTATTATAACATTCAAATATTATTAATGTATAGGTAAAATGAGATAGTATATAATTATAAAAGTGTTAAGTATAGTTTTATCTTTATTCCTATTTAAAAATATGCATTTTTATGTAGAAAATACATACGTATGTTACCTATAACATAATTGCAAATCGATAGCTTGACTTAATATTAATTTGGTGAATTTGGTGAATAATTCTTGTATTATGTGTTTCTTTAATTTTTTTTAACTTTTTAGTCATTTTTTTCAATTATTTAATTTTAAAATAATTTATATATCATCATTAACAATGGGGTGATAGCCTTTGTTAAATTCCTTATAATTTAAGGTACTGCAAGATTCTATACAATATAATACTGATATAATACCGGCATAATACGGTATTATACAAAATATAAATAAAATACCGTATTTTAACATCTGTATGTATTCATTTAAAAACCTAACCTAACATAATCTTGTGTTATTTTATTTATATTAAAACTATTCGTAATTGGAACCATGAGTAGTACTGACATGATGCGTTAAATGAATTCCGTTCCCGCCAAAAACTCATATTCATTATCAACGGGGAGAGTAATCACAGCTGCTACACAATATGAACACAACAAGAGCGTGGTGTCGTCCACTTTCTGGGTCAAATTGTAAACCGTTCTCCGTGATATGTGATATAAATTTATAATCGATCGTTGGTGACGATTGTGTTCGGTCATTTATTTACACTGCGCGTTTGTAATATGTTCCGTTTTAAATTAAAAGCTTAAAAACCATAGATATATATGGATACAACTCAGTTTCCTTATCGCAGTTTTACATATTATTATTTAACAAATGGTGAATAGTGTGATAGTGTGATATTTTAAGCAACTACTATTTGATTGTTCGTACTGCCCATAGTTTTTTTTACTTAAAAAGCTGAACTATTCAGATTGAATAGTCATTGTTATCTGTACTGCAACTTATACTGATTGGCAGTTGAAAAGTTTGAATTCCAATAAATCAATTAATAAATTGACTACAAGTAACTATATTTTGTTTTTATTCATTTTTTTTTACAATATATATTTATTTTGAATAACAATTTTTAAATTTTCGTAATTTAAAAATCGATTTTTGATATATATATATGTAACTAATTATATATATTTAGTCTAATCTAAACTATAGCAAGAGTATATAAATGCATTATCGAAACGTTTTTACCACATTTATTCTCTAAAATATTTTCTACTCTATGTCTTCTAAATACAATGTTGACATTTATGATATAAGTTGTAGTACTCTAGCTTTACTTAAAAATTCTGACATTGATATATAACAACCCCCAAAAATTCGTTCTCCTGTAAAAGATGTTCTACCGTGTAAAATCCTCCAGTTGTTATAAATCACAACTGTTCCTGGTTGCAAACTATGGTTCCAATATAATTCTTTCCTTTTTAATATTTCAACAAAGTGAGCATAACTTTCATAAAACTCATTCATCCTATCTGATGGTTGCGGACTGCGATCATATATATTGAATCTAATAATTTTAATTAAAATATGTTGTATCATATAAATATTGTTGTATTAATAATTTACCTTATTTGGGTAATTTCATTAGTATTATGATTGATTTTTATAACAGGTCCAGTCCATTTTAAATATTGACCTGGCTCCATATATTCCGTTTCTATTTCAATTTCAGTTAAATTTTTGAAATGCAATGGATTTTCTTGTCTTAATATTTCTGCTACTTTAAACCCATCAACTGTAGTACTTAAACCTCCTTTGCCATTAATGTCCCTTTTTAGCATATGAAATACTTGTAAACTAAAATACAAAATCTAGTCATAAACTATTCATGTAATTAAAAATTGAAGTTTGTAATTTAGTTGTTTTTAGTAAAAAAATTGTAATAATAACTATACAAAAAATTAAAAATAAAGGTAAATTTTTTAGATTCTTACCCTGTACTTTCACTGAAATATGTAGTATCATTATGTACAATCAATGGACAATTTGAATATGCTGGATCCTGATGAATTTCATTAGATCCTACTGTCCACATTGTACCATATATAGTTTGTTGTGGTTGTGCTATAAATCTAACTAGTTTTTCTGTTGCTTCCAAAGTTGGTTCTACCTATGTATATCAATTGTTCATTATTTAAATTTTATTATACATATTAATGCTATAGTCAGACAATGGACGATTACATAAGCTTTCTGAAATTTTAAAGCTATTAACATTTTAATGTTATTCAGTGTTCCTTCCATTACATTATATTGGATGTCATAGTTTTTACTTTTAGCCATTAGGTAATTTAGATCTTTATAAATGACAATTATTTTAATTTTTTCACTAAAAATTAAAAATAAAAAACTTCTTCTATTTAGTTTAATTTTATTTTGGTATTGATCTATTTTAAATATTGTGATTTATATATGTATATATTTTTAAATATTTGGGTTTTTTATTTTAAAATCTTGGTGTTTTTAATTGATTTACTAAGTATTACTATTTTACGAAATGTACATAATTTTTAATGTTTGTGGATTTATTAGTTTTTTCTATTGATAGCATGTCTCTTATTTATGTCTATTACAATTGTATTTATAATAGTGTAGATGAACTACATTTATTTTCATTCAATTGTTTAATATTTGTTGTACTAAAAGTTATTAAATGAAAAATGTACGCATTTTATAATACTTAATATAATAAATGTCTGTTATTCTCTTATGATATAATTTAGTGACAGATGTCAACTTAAATTTATTGATGTAAAATAAATATATTTGCTTATCCATTCTGTGTTAAACTTATTGAAAATATATTTAAATTATATACTTACATCTTTTATAATTCCAATTCCATATTTTATAATTGATTTTATTAATTTTTTTTGACCTTCCTTTTCAGTTAGATCATTATAAGAAATTTTTGCTGGTAATTTTTCAAGTTCTTCACCAGTACAACTATATGGTTTAATCTGTATTTTTTTTCCAGTCCACATATCGATGACCCATTCAGTACAATAAGTAGATTTATGACCATCAGACCCTTAGGTACCAAAAATTGTATTGTAATGTTATAAAATTTATCTAGATATTTTATAGAGAAAACTTATGGGAATAAAATATCTTACATTTGATGTTTATATTATTATCGTCTTGTATATAATCTTGAATTTTAACATTCATTTTTTCTAAAAATTGTTGAATTGTTGTTTTTTTATTTTTATTTTGATGATCATAACATTCTGTACACCTGTATATAAATTTAAGTATATAGATAAAAAGATAACTTGTATTTTGACACAAATATAATTCAATTTTTATAATATATATATTTATATATTTACCTGCAATTATCCCGTAACCATATTACGTTGATTGAAATATTTCTATTTCCAATTTTTAATTGAACTGTCATTTTATATATTATTTAGTATCAACTATCTAGTTTAAGGCTTAAGTCGAAATGAATATTATTTTTGTAATAGTTATCTCTATTCCTATAAATATGTAGGAAGGCATTCAAAAAAATAATACAACTAAACTTTTTATATATCACTATGAAATCTAAATGTTTCAAATAAGTTAATTATTGGTTTGTTATGTATTTACATTTAATTATACCAGTGGTTCTCAATGTTGGAAATATTACCCATTGGGCAACGAAGAGATTTTGAGGGGGCGGTGAACTTGTTTTGTATAGTAGGGGAACGCTGATTAAGTCTTGGGCATTAGAGTGGTGTTGTGCATAATATATATTATATTTAAATAAAAACTTAAAACTGAAGAAAAAAAAAATCTGAAATACAGATATTCTGCCAAGCTCTGAGCTATGATTTATCTATTGTATGTAATTGTTCTCAAACAATATAATTTCATCTATTTATCTATAAAATATATTTAAGGTAGTATAATATAAATATCTATCAACTAGGTGTATATGTTTGATTATCTGTAATTATTGTTAAATTTATTATCTTTAATATATTATTTTCAAGCATACCATTTTTTTAGGGGGCATTGAATAATATTTCTCTTCTAAAGGAGATCGGCAGCTTAAAAAAAGGTTAAGAACATTGAATTATACTAATCCTATATCCGTTATAATATAATGGATATCGGATTGGTATACATTATTATATTTACATACCAATTATTAGCCAATAAATATATCTTTATCAAAGTATCTAATTGTTAATGTTAATTGTACTTCATTTTCATATTTATTATTAACATAAATTTTTTTTTTCTTACGTTTAAACCACTATTAATTATTTTGAGTAATTTAAATGTTTTCTTATATTTTACACACTACATGTGCGTGTTAAAATATTGATTATAACTTATAAAGTGTTTTCTGTAATATTTCAACAATGAATTCGACTTTGATCATTATAATTAGCGATAAGAATAATCAAATGTTTAGTGCTTACTCCAAATAAAGATAATTTGATAATTAATATTGCTATTAACTAGGACTCGGAAGTTCTTGCAAATGCATATTTTTCTTGGTTCATCCTAGAACATCCATTAAGTAAGATACAAATATATTTCACACTACTTGGATATCATACACAAAATTTAATTTTGCTCTTTTTGGCATATTTACAGTTTTTATTACTATTTTGATAATTTAGGGTTTATAGTGCTATTTTTGGGTATATTTTCATATAATACAGAAAATAATCACATTTAGTCGATAATAATTGTATTTACTTGGTTATATTTTAAAAATATTTGAATTATTGGAAATAAATATACCTCATCAAATATTATTTTATTTTTTCATCGAGAATTTGATGTATTAACAGTACAGTTAGTAACTTCATTACTAAATTACATCATTCATTACATGTAACATGTAACTTCATTACATCATTCGAATGCATTACGATTATAATTGCTTGAACTCAATAAAATTAATTAATATTAACTGAAATATTAATTAATATATATAAATATTCAATTGATAATCTATATTCTAAATATTAATAATGTGAAACACTGAAATTCCTTTTCAATACAACAAACTATATTATAATTAATATTAATATTGCTTCTGAGTTCTGAATACTGACTTATAGTTTATAAAATTATAATTATTCAAGATTATTTTGATAGTAATTTTTTATGTATTTTCATTGGATTATTTTATCATTCGAATGGTTTTTAAATAATCGAATGATACGATAATTACCACCATCAGTTACAATGTGTTTAAAACGGGTCGGAGTGAAGGACGAGTTAAAGTAGGAGCGGTGTAGTAGCTATCATACAGTAGAGCTTCGATAGTCCGGACATCCGATAAACTTGTGAACATGGGTAATCCGATCAAATTGTCTATCATAAATCGCAAAGCAGTATCTTCTTTATATAGTACAGGGGTGGCAAACTTTAATAGACTTGCGATCGACTAAAAGAAAGAAAAAGGTTGACAAAAAATATATTATATGTACATGTGTCATGCGTTTTGTCATAGTTATTAATTGTCTTTTCCTAAATCTAATTTATATAATCGTGGGATATACAAAGATACATAAATTAAATATATATATATTTTATTTGTTTTCTGAAAAAAAAATTCAAGAAAATGCAAAAGGGTATCGCGATCGACCGGTTACTTAGTTTATAGTTCTTAGTTATCTAAAATAAATGTATAGCTGACTTAGGTATTTTTAGGACCTCTTAAAAAAAATATATGTAAATGCTAGAAGTTATGAGCCCGGCTTATAATACTTTTACATTTTAAATGAATAATTAGAAAACAAAAAATCAATATTTATAAATAATATTTTTCAACCAAGTTATGTTCAAATATTTTGTATTTGAATTATACTGTTAAATTAAATAAGCAAAGAATGCTTGATTAATATTATACATGTTTTACAATTTATTGATTGAATAATATTAAAAAATAAACAAAATTGTATAGGGTAAGTAACTTGAAAAATTATTGAGTAACAAGCGTAATTAGTGAGAAGTGTAAGCGATATTAAAAGTAATTTTAGATTTTTAACGATATTAATGTGAAGCAACATTTGCTTAATTATTGAGTTTCTTTTTAACTAATTCAGTATTATGATTTAAATATATTTTATTAGATATTAAATTTTGAATACATTTTTGTGTTCCTGAAAAGTTGTCCAAATGTCACTTATACTCTTTTACATTTTAGGACTCCATATATTATTTTATAATTTAGTAATATCAAATCAATGGTAATAAATAACCTAACCTATGAAATAGTCTTATGGTTTTAACTAGTGATGGGAATAATCGAATGATTAGTAAACGAAATTAAAAAATCGAATGATTAGTAGTCGAAAACCAAATAATCAAATTATTAGCACACGAAATCAAAAAATGGAATAATCGAATGATTAGTAGTCAAAAACAAAATAATCGAATTATTAGTACAAATGATCAAATTAATATCTATAAGCATGAAAGTGAAATGCATTTTCAATCCAAATATTTATGCATATTAAACCAATTAGTGTAGCGATTAGCGATACCGGGAATTATACCAATGATTAAAAATAAAATGAAGAATAATACAATACTGAAGGATTGTTGACTTCTTAATTTAGTACCCAATGGGCAATGAGTAAAACACGCAAATTTTCAAATAATTAAATTAATTTTTTTTTTTAATAAATATGTCTGGTACCATTATTTGAATTATTATAATCATTCGATTATTTCAAATAATCGAATCATTCGATTATTCCATTATATTAGTTCCATCACTAGTTTTAACCATTATCATATTTACCATTTATGAATAATGATTATGGCTTAAATTGACATCTAATAACTTTAAATATTGATTTAATTTTAATAAAAATTTCATATATGTGAATATAAGATGATGGTTGAAGGTTAAAATTTGATTAAATATACTAAGTATGCAACCTTATTTTTAGTTTGAAATTATAGTACATGTTTTTTCAAATTATTTACTTTTGGTATTTATTAAATATCTAGAAACATTCATTTTTATTATTATTTATTAATTGTAAGAAAAATAATCTACTATTATAGTTAGTACGATTTATTTTCTTTATTTAATAATATTGTTGCTTAAATTGTATTAGATTCATGTTTGCAGTTAATTTTTCTAACTTCTTTTTTGTGACAGTTGATTTTGGAAAATGTATACATAATTCCAAATCAAACCATATGCTTTTATTGTTCCTAGAAAATTTATGAAAATCCTCAACAGAATCATGTGTCACTATAAGTGTAGAAACAGCGCTTATCCTGGAACAGATGGAAAGATTGTTCGATTTCATGTACCAGATGATAAAGTGAATTGGCATTCCTTGTATTCCATGTATAATCCACCAATATTTACTTCAACATCTGTTATTGGTCAATTGTGGGCTGATCAAGATATATATGCATTAGAATTTAAACCCAATTGGAATTGTGTTGATGGTAATGTTAATAGAATTAGTTTTACTGGAAAATATAATATACAAAATGGGTTTCCTCTGAATCCTTGTGGCCGAACTGGTCTTATTGGTCGAGGAGTTCTAGGACGCTGGGGTCCAAATCATGCTGCCGATCCAATTGTTACTCGTTGGAAAAAATATGAAAATAAACAAGTATTTCATACAATGAGTAATAAACCTATTCTTCAATTTGTTGCTATTCAAAGAAAGGATTCAGGTGAATGGGCATTACCTGGTGGTATGGTTGATATTGGAGAAGTAGTTTCAACTACTTTGAAAAGAGAATTTATGGAAGAAGCAATGGATTTGCTAGGAAAATCTGAAGAAGATACAATAAAAATAAAAAAAGAGATAGAAGAAGTTTTCACAGAAGGTATTGAAGTTTTTCGTGGATATGTGGATGACCCTAGAAATACAGATAATGCTTGGATGGAAACTGTTGCAACTCTTTTTCATGACGATAAAGGAGTACATGTTGGGATGTTAAAACTTCATGCTGGAGATGATGCTGTTGGAGTTAAGTGGGTAGATTTAGATAGGAAATTAAATTTATATGCCAATCATTTATTATTTTTGGAGAATATTGCTAAAATACTCAAATGTCATTGGTAATTTAAAATATAATTTATGTTTTTTAAGTATTTTGTATAATTTCTTTACGTATAAATTATCAATTACAATTATTAATGATAATTTTTTTATAAGGTTTAATAATTATAAACTCGAACAGTATAATGCTTTGGTATGTATTTAACAACCTTGATTCAATTTTCACAGAGTAAGACTTGCCTTATCTTTCATTAAAATGCTAAAATATATATTTGTAAATAACACATTTGTAATCTTTTAGTAATGCTAAATCAAATTGAAGATACATTTAGATTTCTTCAAATATCTTGTAAGTGCACTTTGTAATCACTATTTTTGATAGCAAACATTCCGTTGATTATATGTATGTAGTTTATATATTAAATATTATTATTATAGTTTTGATAGTTGAATCCAGATTATAAACTTATTTATTTATTAAAGATGTAAAACGTTTATTGTTTTTATTTTATTTTATAACATTGTATTATATTTACTATTTGTATTCTATATCTATACTCTATAGCAGGGGCGGCCAAACGGTTGATCACGGACGATTTCAGAGTCGATCATATTAGAATTTATTTTTAGGCCACGTGTACGAAAATTAATAGTGGTTATGAACAAATTGTCGATAAATTTTATCTGACTAGTTTTTATCTTTTATTCTGGTTTATAAAAAAAATTTCCAAGAAATTCGATCTTCAAAGGTGAAGTATATTTTTAGTAGATCATGGCCGAAAAAAGTTTGGCCACCTCTACTCTATAATTTGGTTTTATAATCATATCTCATGTATCTATGTTTTAAAACAAAGTAACTGGTTAAATCCTTATTTGGATTATATAATCAGGTTAAGTATTTGTTAGTTTATTGTTCAGTTTACAATTATAACACAAATCAACTAAATGTTATCAATAAATTAATATATATTTTGTAAAATGGCTGTGTTGTATATTTAAAATACTTTGTGCTTAGTTTAGAAATGTTTCATGATTAGAATTACTTAAAACTTAAATCTGAATTTCACAACTCTCTATAATGCAATATTTTACATTTCTCTTAATTGAAAAAGCATATTATTGCCAGTGTTGATACTAGGTGGAAAAAAAAATATTATAAGATATACTTGAGCAAAGTGATAGGTATCGACAACCAAATTTCACTACAGGTGGTTCTAATTATATTATAAATATTAACAAGAACTTAAATGTTTAATGTGTACAATTTAATATCATCTTTCATATCACTTACACATCACTGTGTACAGTTTACTCACTAAATTAAATATATTATAACAGGTGTCGGTAACCTTTTGAACCACGCGGGTCATATTTTTTTTTCAAATGTTTATTAAGGGCCACATTAAAAAACAATTTTTACATATGATATTTACTAATAATTATATTGCTATTATATTTGATTATTTTACATAGAAATATTAGTGCAAAAAATACTAATGTTACTGGAAAAAAATTGCTATTAAGAAAAAAATTAATTTTTTGACAAATTAAACATAATGGCTTACATTTGTTTTTAACGAAAAAGTATAATTCAACCCAAGAATTATTAAAAAAACGATGTTTATCTCAAATTTTTCTTTTTTTAGTCGTTATAATGTTTGGATTTACTTGTAAAATTAAACTATTACAAACGCAAACAGTCACACGTACGGGCGTAATCGCGGTGTAATACTAATTGCTACAAACGCAAAGTAACTGTAACCTTAGATTGAATATATTAGATACATATGTATTAAATACATAAATTAATAAATATATTTAAAAATTTAATTTTTAAATATATATAAGTATATTTAATTTATCCTATGACTGAGTAGTCATCATTATCTTCGACTCCGATTAGATAATAATTTTATTTATAAAGAAAAAAGAATTGAATAGTATTGAAAATTGTATGAACAATTTATTGAACAAAAATGAACCACCTTTGTGCGGACTATAAAAAATTGCTTCGCGGGTTGCCGACTCCTGTATTATAATATAATAATAAAAATTAAATTAAGATTTAGTAAATGATTAATACTTGTAAATTCATATATAAATAAATATATTGTTATTTATTTTCAATGATTTTCCAAATTTAATTTGAATAGTAACTTTAATTACACTGAATTAATATTTTTATATTCTGATACATGTAAATATGGTCTATATTACAAAAAATATGAAGTCTTGCAATGGTTTAGGTTGTTAATTTTTATAAAATTATAAATATACAAAGGAACCCACTGATATTTTCGTGAAATTATCTCCATTAATATGAATTTTTTTAATTTTGTACAGTTAAATAAAAGATGGTTATATTAAACACTGAATATAATCAAATTTGTATTTTAAATACCATACATGTCCGGGAAAAATAACTGAACTTAATATTTTTATTTCTGTGAAATTACAAAATAGCTATTCTTTACAAGCTGTTATGAAAATGTCAAAGTATCATAATTGATAATAAAATTATAGCTAATGTAAGTGTATAGGAAATGATTATTGTATCAGATATATTGACTATAACTACAGTATTTACAGTATTTAAAATATGATATACAGTTAAATTGAATGTAATATCACTGTAATGGATATTAAGAAAAATATTATTTTCATTTGAAATATTATTATTTAATATTTACTGATTTTTATAATGAAATGTTTCAGATTCGGTGTTTATATGCTTATAAAATGACTGATCCTTCAGATTGTATTCTTAAGAAAAGAGAAATGAAATCAAAAAATGCAGAACCAATTCCAATTAAAAAAATAAAAGAATCGGATGGTACCTCTAAGAAATATTAAATATGTTATTTTAATAAATAATGAGGTTATTATTAAATAAAAAAATTACATTTTTACAGCAGATTCATCTTTACATAATTATCAAGATGACAGTGATTTTGATGAAGCATTTAAAAATCTATTACGCCCAGTTGAACAAATTACAAAAAAAAACAATTGTGAACCTCTTCAATATGATCTTCTAAAAGTAATTATATATAGAATATAGTAAAATTATACGTTCTATAACCATGGAAAATTGTTTTTCTCTAATAATTTATTTAGGAATTAGATTCATATTTAAATCATTTGAGAGAAACTTCTAATGGTGGCTCTCCCGTCTTTGTTGAAGCTGCATTAATGATTCAAAATGTTATACTTATATATCAAAAAAGAGTTGATCAATATGTTGATGTTATGATGAGTTTAATTGGAAAATTTCGATCATAGTAAGTAAAGCATTTATTATTCTTAGCTTAATTCTTTCTATATTCTTACAATCTTTTCCCAGGTATAATTCTGTATTATATTCATAAATATTCTATATTGTTTACTTTTCAAACATAATTTATTTCTTAAAAATACTAATTGTTTTTTTTAATTATATTAACTTTTATTAACTCAAACATTAAGGTTATAAAATGGATGCCTTGTATTCATTATATTCCTATATATTCACCTATATATTCCACTATATATTCTTTTATTTTCTAATAGAACATATTGTTTAGTTTTGTGCTCTTGTGAGAATTTATTAACTTTTCTTCAGTTTTTAAAATAATTCAGAAAAACTAATAAGAAATAACAATTTTATCATATCTCAAAAAATAATCATGGAGGCTTGACATTTTTTTATATACTTTTATTTATATTTTCTAGAGCAAAAAGGTTATTTTTTTGTACCATTTAAAGACACTTAACATTTTCAATCTCTTAAATTTTTAATTGGCTTGCTTCCATTATTAGTTTTGATTTAAATACTTCAAGTCATTATAGGTTACTACATTAGTTGATTTTACTTGATAATGTCATGATATAAAAAATATATAGATATAACTTAGTTATTAACATTTAACATTTTATTATTTGAATGTTGACAAAATTTCACTAAAATTATGATAGTTCATATCATTTTAGTTTAAAATTCAAAAACATTTAATTTTATTACTGAAGACTTGAAAATTGAAAGTAAAATTCTTCACCAGTTTTCTTTTGTTATTAGTTAAAATAGTATATTCAACAGTTGCAATAAAATGTTAAGAGTATTAGAGTATTAAACATTGACAAAATTGGATAATGCAATTACATTTTTTGAATTAAACAAATATTCTTATGGATTTCACTTACACTATATTTTCATTTTGTTTAAAATTTTAACTATAAAAATCTGAATCATAATTTTGATATTTTTTAATTAGCATTATATTCATATTATAATTATAATTAGTTGTTATTATTAAAAATCAAATTGAAGTCCTTAGGTTTTATTTATATCCAATTTTTTTTTTTTTTTTTTTTTTAATTTGCTTGACTAAAACAATTACGAAATTATTAGGTACTTATATATTCATATAGTAGGTAAAGTCAATTGTATTTTAGATAATTTATAAGTAGTTTTACAATTTTCTTTTTAAATTTTACATTGAATTTTGAAGTCTGTTAAAAATGATAAAATAATCCAAAAATTGTTTGTAATAGCCGAATTAACCAAAATAATGAAAATGATGAAAACGAAAACATGGAAGGTAACACAAAGAAACACAAAGAAAAAAAAGTCAAATTTTATCCTACTTTTGATCTCATACCAGTTCAATTTGAAGAACCTCGTAAGTACACAAATGACTGCCTACTTATTATAAATAATACATTTTTTTAATAATTTTAATTTTTTAAATGTTTATTCCAGAAAACTATTTTGACTGCAGATCTGTTAATTTAACTAAAAAGCTGAATATACCGAGAATTGTACTCAATGCCAACATTAAAGTTGAAAATAAATACAATAAAATAATGCCTTATATTTATGTTGGAAATGGAGAAACCATAGGGAAAAAATATGACTTCTTGTTAGATTATTTTATTAAAATAATTTATTTCATTTTGTAATTAAATTTTATATTCTTAGGTTAAGTTATCCCTTAAATTGTGATTTGGCTGTAAATGAGGAATTTGATTGTCCTACTAATAAGGAAAGTGCAACTACAATTAAATACCGAGAATGCAATGATCCAGTATATTTTAATATATTTTAAATTTAGCATAACACTTTTAAATAAATATTTTTTTATATTTAGTTACCGACCAATGTAATGGAGGTAGATGATGTAGGCGTTTCTGATGACATATATCCTGATTCTCCCAATCAAGACATTTTTAATCAAATGGTTAATGATGAAGTTTGTGTTGCCAATGCAATGTTACCAAAGTAAATAAAAAATAATTGTATTAAAACTCTTTATATTGCAATTTTTATGTCTATTATTTCACAGTCCAGTAAATATATTGAATGTGAGTCAAATTCCTTCTAAAGATGATCTAAATAACGTGTGGTCTGAAGCTAATCATACTTCTGATAAAACAAAGGATACTGTAATAGAAAAACCTATTGGCAAAGCCAAATTTAAATCTAAAAAAGAAGTAAGAATAAGATACAATTTTCTAATAATTTTATTTTGTTACTCTGACCTAAGAGTGAGCAATTAGTCTACGACAGTATTTTTATTTATATATTTTTTTTCTTTGGGACTTATCTTATTCATTTATTAGAAATAAAATTAATTTTAATTTAGAGATATTGTCTTCCTTATTAATAACAAAGAATTAAAAATTTAGATATAGTATATATTAAAATATTATAGTATTTATGCACATTTTAATAAGTTTTTTTAATTGTGAATAAGTTTTGTAAGAATAAAAAATATTACTTTCTACAGATTTTCAAATAACTTATCTGTTATAACTTAGTTATTTCATACATTTTAAATTAGATTTATGTTATAAATGCCAGTACAATATATATTCAAAAACTGCTTATAGTTAAAATTAATATTAATAATATTTTCTGTAAATAATATAAAATCATAACTGTTTTTTCTAATTGTATTACAAAATGTCAAGTAAGTAATAATAATAATATCTTGTTTAATTATAAAACATTAATAGGATAATACAGCAATATGGTTACCAACTTATACAGTTGGAGAATTGAGGTGTGAGTTAATGATACTGAAAATGGGTTTACCTGTAAATTCGGCTTTTAGACAAAAAATTCATTTAATTCAATCACTTCAAAAATCAGAGGCTGCTAAAATGAAGTTGAAACAAATCATAGGTAAATTTCTAATTATATTAAATTATATTGTATAATATATAATATATTCTATACTTACTATAATATTTATGGTGTTTTAGAAGCAGACAAAAAAAAATTTGACTGTAAGTTCATAATTATAATATTTTTATTAGACTTAATATTATAATAAAAATAATTACCTATAATATATTTTTTTTACTAGATCATGATGAAGAAATGGAAATGAAATTAAAAAATGGTGGTATGTTGGTTTAAACATTTTTCTTACTATTTAAAATGATTGACCTTTAATATTGATAAAATCATATGATAATATGTGGACTTATATTTATGAGGAAATAATTATTCACCTAAGGTCTACCTCCAATGTGAAATTAGTATATCCCTGTTTTCGTGTAGCCAGTAGCGCTTTTAATACATACGCGCCCGGGGGCAAAATAATTTTTCCGCCCTTCCTCCTTATTAAAAAAAAATATATATATAAATAAATTCAGTTAAGCAATAAAAAAATTTGTTTATATCAGCTGTTTTGCGATATTAGATAATTTTATAGTAATACCATTGATTTTATTTTATTTTAACTATGATTGTTTATGATATATGCTGTTGTCTCTATGGTGGTGTAAAGTTGAATAGTATATGCGTGAGGTAATCGTGATTGATCCTTTGGTAACTATTATTATTGAGGTTTTATTATTATTTTAGGTTTCCTAACCTTTTAAACCTTCTCTGGAATTCACAAATAATTTAAGACCAAAATAAGCTAAATCGGTCCAGCCGTTCTCGAGTTTTAGCGAGACTTACAAACAGCATTAGATTTTTATTTATATATAGAAAATATATTGTATATTATAAAATCATTGGTAATACATAGCCTAACGTTAACCTATTTTTTTTTTCAGTGAATATTCTTTTCTTAAAAAATATATATATATATATTAAATATAGAAAACGGAATTTATAAATATTATATGCACAATGATTAACAATACATGGTTTTTTATTAGATTAAATATATTATATTTATTATTAATTATATATAATAAAATAATCGATAGCTTATAATTTTTTTCTTGACTTTTGAGAAGAAAAATGTTCAATAATATCATTGAAATGAATAGTTTTCGTTAAATCAGCTTCAATGTTGAGGGTTGTTAATTAATTAAGACGATTTTCTCTAGTTTTTGATCTTAAATAAGTTTTGACCATTTTTAATCTAGTAAATGATTTTTCCGTTGAACAATTACTTGAAGATGTACATACATAGTAGCATCCTTAGAGCAATATCAATATAAAGATATACTTCAACTAAACTATTCCCTTTAATAAATGCTAACATACATTGAACACTTTTAGGTACAATTTTACTCCTTTTGTAAACTTTTTAAATGTGCATTAAAGTGAATACCGCGTTCTGTGTAACCGAGTCTTTATTATAAACATTGAACGAAAATATAATATCTTATCGAATAATAAATGTAATATACCTATTTTGCTATTTCACTGTCACCTAGGTGACCAGGTATAGTATAATTTTTTTAATTTCTTATTTGATGCTCAACAATATTTTTTAAAATACTAAACAATACCGAAAAAGGTGTGAAAATTAAAAAAATCATAAACACATCAATAATAAAAGTTATAATATTTTGCCGCCCAAGGCATTTGCCCCTTTTGCCCCCCCCCCTTAAATGCACCACTGCGCGTAGCAAATTATGGTTTAAAATATTTATAGGTTATGTATGTATTGGTTTATGTAGATGAACTTGGATTTAGAGGTTTTAACAGTCCAACTTCCTATGATGGTTTTGATGAAAATGTTGCTATGGATATAATCGATGAACAAATTGAAGAAGCTAACCAAGGAGATTTCCTATCATATCAGGATATTCAAAATGATATGGAGAGATACAAACAAAATCAACAGGATATTGTAAGTTAATATTTAACACAGCACTAATTCAATATATGACTGTTTACTATTCTTTTAGATTAATGAACAAGGTCTAATGTTGAAACGAGTTCAACAATGGCATGAAAACCTTCGACCGATTTTAGAAGAAGAAGAAAAGAGAACTGAATTTGATATACACGAATATGGAACAAGATTGTTAAATTGCTTTAAGTCAATAGGTGAACAGAAAACATTTAAGGAATTGATTGAACTGGTTGGAGGATCAGCGCAAGTAGAAGTTTCTCGATACTTTTTATCTACTTTAATGATGGTAGTTAATGACTTATATTTATTGTTTCGTTAAAATTGATCATAACATGTTATTTTAGACTAATACTTATAACTTGAAGTTAACAAAATCAAGTGATGGTGAAATGATAATAGAACTTTTGAAAAAAGAAAGGCATCATGAAGAACTTCAAGTTAATATTGGTAATCAAGTGAACCAAGAACCAAAGTGATTATAATAATCTGTGAAAACTCATAATAATACCATCTTCTGGAAATACTTCTACTGACCTTTTTTTTTTTATAAATATATATATATTTTAGTGTAAATGTTTGAATAATGAATTTTTTTTTCTTGATTTGCAAAAATATATATAAAAATAGATTAAAATTAATGTATTCATTACATGATAAAATAAAATGTATCGGTCAGTAGTAAGTCATATAGCTACATAATCTATTACTACATATAGTTATTTTTTATTTTCATATATTGATTTCTAATTTTTGACTTACAAATGAAAAACATTGATAATTAACGTGTAATACAATAATACATCTAATGTAATAATAAAAATACTCATATATTTAATAAAATAATTTGACATATGTATCTTAGTGAAATTTTTAATGTTCCTTATCATTAGGTCCTACTTTATTCTTATTCAAAGAAAATCTTCTAGGGTAGCATTTTTCAATCTGAGGAACGCAAAAGAAAAAGGGTTATGTCAAAAATACAAAACTTGATTTATTTAGAACCTGAGCTGGTGGTTGAGGAGTTTGGGGGCTCCTCTAATATTTTTAATTTTTTTCGCATACCACTACTAAATTTTTTCACTGGAACGGGGGGACACCACGTTTACCCTAACTGATGTCCAAAATAATTTTTATTAAAATGTGGATTTCATTTTTATAACGAATATTACGACTTATAATATCAAAACTATTTTAGGTATTCGTTTATTAACACGTTGATCTCTGCTAGTAATATCACCAAGGCTCATAACTTCTAGCATTTGCATATTTTTTTCAAGCGGTTCTAGAGATATCTATGTGAACTAGAAATTTGTTTCAGATAACTAAGAAGCTAAATACGAAATTTTATGTTGCTTATTTTTGCATATTTCCAAATATAAATGCTATTTTGCTGTTTTAAGTCTTTCAATTCCGTAACCTTTAAAACATTTTTTTCTTTAAAATAATAAGTACCTAGTTAGGTTTAGTAGTATTAATTATTTATATTTGTAATTAATTCACTAATTTTTCTTTACATGATATAAGTTATATATTTATTTATATCATAGCAACGCGAGTGATTATGACTAGTTTTTTTAATGAGGGAAATATCTATTATACATAATATTAATTTTGTTTGCATATTTTAGCACTTGTATGAATATTTTTTCGATCATATAGCGCTTATAATAAATTTTGTAGAGCTTTAAGTTATGATCCCTAATTCTAATCATAGGTCTATAATATATGCGTTATTCACAAATGTCTTGTTCACAATGTTCGCAATTCCCAGTGCCGTAATTAGGCATTTTGTGTCCCGGCGCAAAAAAAATATTGGCGCCTAACCTACTGATGTGCCATGGATAAATACCCAACGGGTAGGTAAATATTTTGGGTATTTACCTACCAAAAATTTGGGTAAATATTTTTTTTTACTGTCAAACATAATCCTTTTTATTAAATAAATTTAATTTTAAAATTTGAAGCGTTTTAGTTAGTTTATAAATTTATTTGTTTCCCCATTAAAAGTAGTATTGGTTTCAAAGTGAATAAAATTAACAAAAACTTTATAAATACAATTTATGTACTCTAATCATCAGCCTCGAAAAAACATGAAAAAGTCGGGAAACAATCATAAAAAAGTATTGTGATATCCATGGATTAGTTTTAGCATTAAAAATAAATTTACCCAAATTATCGGTTTTATTTGAAATTATATTTACCGAATATTTGCTCATCACTAGACCCAGAGCCGTAATAAGCTCATTTGACGCCTGAGGCAAGTTTGAGTATATGCGCCCCCTTCCATCAAAAAAAAAATCATCATTTTTAAAATGTTAAGCTATTATATATATTTGTTTATTAGAAGAGCATGTAATAAACAACAAGTATTTATTTTAAAATTTATTTTTATTGACACACAAAAAAATAAATCTCATAATTTGACTTTTCTTGATTTGATTGCCGCAAATTCATCGATGACATCTTCAAAATTAATTTCTCCAGCCACTTAATTTTCTATCGACAAAATAGATAAATCCGAAGTCCCTCCTGGCCCATAGTTTATTTTTTCACACAATTTTTCAATTATTAATTTTTTAACTGGGGGTGCTAAATTAGAGCCTGGGGTACTATTACACCCCCAAGCACCCCCTAATGGCGCCTATGCAATTCACGCCCAATGAATATAACGTACATGGTACATAAGCTAAATAATATTATATAACTCACAGATGACAGTATGCTACATTGCTATAATTATTATATAATAAAAAAATAAAACAATATAAGTAACGAATAATGTGTTGTACATGTGCGACGAGTGTGTAAGCCGGTTGGTGGCGGCGATTATCGATACGGCGATACCTATTATTATTCGTATTAACTATATTAAGTATTATTATTATAATAGTTCATTACATTTTTAAGTTCAAAATAAACAACTACTTACCAACTTACAAAATGAATGTTTGGTTAGTCCGATTGTGTCGTGTCGTACTGAGGCGTAGTGTTGTACTACTTAATACTTCTACTGTTATAGTTGAATAATTGAGACATTAGAGTTGCAGTCGAACAGAATACGATATTTGAATAAGTGCAGAGTGAGTGATAATTACAGAAATGCAGACTGATTGGCAGTAAAAATATAATATATGTGTTTAATGTAATAGTGTGTTCGTGTATAGCGTGTTTTGGCTGTCGAGTAATGGGACTATCGCCTTCGGCTGAGATTTACCAAAATAAATGTTTATCGCATATGCCATAGATACTAATACACTGATTGCATAACGATAATTCACTTCCGTTACGACGTACAATGTTTTCGTACAATATTTAATATGAAATCACAATAATAACTGTAGAAGAATAATTTTCAAATGCAAAAGATACTGAACATAGTACATAAATTAAACTTATAATATAATTATGTAGGTAATTGAATAGTTAAATATATTTTTTTAAGTAGGACATTTTTGAATGCTCCCTAAGTACTATATTGGTAGAACAATATTTTAATTTAAAAAATTTAACAAAGTTTAGCACCCGAGGCAAATGCCTCAGTCGACTCACCTTTACTACGGCCTAGTCTAGGCCTACCCACAGAAAATATAAGAGATATATCCTCATGAACCTTTTAGATATTCTAAAATCAATGCTATTTTTGTATAGTAGGCACGTGATAACATAGTACGCCGTATTATTAAATTTAAATTTAAAATAAATAAAATTAACTAACTAAAATTTAAATAATTTAAATTTAAATTATTAAATAACAACTTTATTAACACTATCACAACAAATTTGGGAACTAATATTAGGTACCTATATTAATAATATTCTGGATCGCTGATATTTATAGAGCTATATTGCTATAAATATATTAATAATATATATTAATAAATTTATTACATTAATATTAATTTCTGATACTGTTATTAAAAACAAAAAAATAATAATTTCAAAATAATTTTAGAAGATTAATAGTTCACAAGTGATCAAATTTCCGACCACAAAATTTTGATGCCCGGGGTGCTCCCCTTAAATGCGACCCTGGCAATACCTCGTATTCGCGTTTTATAATTTTATACAATGCACACGAGTCAAATATATAATTGATTTATTAATAAAAGTTTCAAAAAAAAAAAAAAATTATTTTCTTGGCCACTGATTTTATTGATACTTCAACTAATGCGGTCGTGCGGCAATAATTAGGATCTAATAGTGTGCATTTAAATCAAATGAGGGATAGAATTTTCTTCTATCATTTCAAAATATGAAATTATGATATATGACTGACATTTTTTAACTAAAATATATAATCATTTTGTGTTATGAATAGCTTATAAAATGTTTTATCTAACCTACCCATACTACAATCACAACAAAGTATTACGTTTATGATATATAGCCGTGGATTCGGGTAGTTATTTCCATAGGTGTCACTAAAAGTTATCGAGGGGTATCTTCACTAACCCAGAAATGTTTGTGGGGTAGCAAGGGTAACTTTTTGCTACTCCAAAAAAAGTTGTAGATTTTAAAAATATATTCGAAGTTTATCATTCAATTTTGTACGAACTAAATATAAAATAACTAACTAAATTTAGTATATATATATATAACTAAATCTATTATTGTGATTGTATCCAAAATAATTATATTTTGTGATAAGTCCAATACGGACAATATGACACTACACGTCATACCAAGATTTATGAAGAAGAGTTAGCCATTTAAGTAAGCCAGTTATCATGCTAAACCTTTAAAAATTTATTTTTTAATTTTCTAAAAATAAACTTTGCTACCTCAAAATTTGGACTTTAGTGACGCCGATGGTTATTTCAGTACTAAGTTTAAAATTAAACTATTACTGAAACTAAAAAATTAATTTTTGTTTTATTAGTAAACTCATTTTCATACTTAAAATAAACAAGTGCTTATACTGAAAACTACTAGGCATAACGTATTTATTCATATTTTTTATGTTTATTTATATTTAATTATCTTTAACACCGTCCATTATTTAATCTTATCATAAATATTAGCACGAACTATAATATATTATGCTAATATCTATTTATAAAACTTTTCATAATATTAATGATTGATAAAAAAACTTTATTATCCAATCAACATTTAAAGTGCTGTTGTTAATATTAATCAGGGATGGAAAACATTTTTAATTTTTTCGTTTTTGTTTAACATGTTTTGATATATTTTTTTTTTTTTTTATTTATATATTCTTATATCTTATACCTAATTTATAATAGTTACAATGAATATTCAATACACTGAATACAGGAATAGGTACACTTAAGTTATAATTAATTATTCTTAATATTAAAAATTTCAATTTCAAATTAAAATTATAATTTATATTTTATATGAAAATAAGAAAATTCAAGATTTTAAATTAAAACGTTTTTGAAAAGTGTATTAATAGAGAGTAAAGACTCAAGAGTAAGTCAAGACGTAAAGTAAAACACTATTTCAGATTTCTATAAAGTCATGTTATTGTTACTATTAACTATAATATCCAATCAGGAGCGTCATTTGGGGGGGGGCAGACTATTGCAAATATAGAAATGATATAGAAACAAGTTAAATGTTGAAGATGATTTAAGATTGTACTAAACTAAATTAGAACCCAATATTGATCAATTGTGCCATCAAAAACAAGCTAACCCTTCTGACTATTTTTTTTTGAAAGTAAGCTATTTTTGTTTTTAAAATGTTTTGTGTATTATGTTTTAATGAAATAAAAACGTAATTTTATAAGTTTTTAATTTTTTTTATATTTATTTTAGTTTTTCTAACTAATAAGGGGTATTCAAAAAAGTTAATTGATAAAAAGGGGTACAGTGTTTATAAAAATTTGAGGAAGCCTAATTTACTCAATACGTATGTGAATTTAAAAAGTTAAAAATAAAGCATTATACCGGGTTCACACTATTGAAATTTCTTGTATGCTTTTTCCCGCATGCATATTTTTACTCGTGCAAGAACAAAATTGAACAAATTTAAACGTTTATAATACGTAATGCAAGCTCAAACTTGCATGAAATTCAACATGTCGGACAGAAGTTGAATGCAATTAGGTAATTTTAGGCCAGTTTATTCCCGAACACGTATAGTGAACCACGTGATCAATGTGATTTCTTAATTCAAAACAAACTGATTTGCCAACACTATTTCTTCTACTAATCCATTGTCGAACCCATAATCATTTTTTTAAAAGCTTCTTGTTTCTTTTCTAAGATTTCTTTACGAAGCATATCGCAAACAATAAGTACTCCTATTTTGTTTGATCCATTTAACAGTCTCGTTATAAATTTAAAAAAACAGCACTTCTACACGCGATCAGATCACTTTTGAAACTAAACAATATTTAAATACATACAAGACTAAAAATATACAAGCATAGGTATATGTGATTAGAGATCTTAAAACACGTGTCACGGAATTCACGTGTACACGTGAATACGTGTTTATCCAAATATATGTCCATTTTTATAATGATGAAAATTTGTAATTTTACGTTATGCGTTTAAAGTTATAATAAAATATTATTAGTACAGTATTAAGTTAAGGTTATACGTTCTTATTTTGGATTTTACACGTGACACGTGAATTCACATGTATTAAGAGGTCTTATGTCTATATGTGGACATGCACTTGCGTATTACTATGCATATTCTTGCATGATATATATTGCAAGCAAAACTACAGGCCACGAAATATGAAAATTTTATTTTTTCAATCGATTATCGTTTGATAATACAAATTTAAAAACATTGCATTATTAGTCGTTATTAGTCGATATAAAGTTATATTTTGCATATTTGTAACTATTGGTGATTTAGTTTGTTAGTTGTTTATAGTCATAGAAGAACATTTAGTTGATTTATATGACGTATCAAATCACTTTCTGAAGCATAATACTGGTTGAACATTGATATCGAATTCGAACGAATTAAATTTTTTTATTCATTCGCATTTTGATTTTAGAGTTTTCAGATTTTGTTTTAGGAAAGTAATTCAGCACCTGTTCAGTACAACAATCACAATGATGAAGAATGTGTCAATGTTGTCTGGCCAACCTAGTTCAGGAGATGCTAAAAATAATGGCAATGGCTACGATATTGTATTTCCAGCTCTGCCAGTTCCGAAGACATCGAATGCAATTGGGACTGTACCATTTAAAAAACGGAATAATGTTAAGTCTTCAACGGTGAACGAAGTAATTTATCATGCCATTTTAATAGCAATTATTAAGTATTAGAACGATCAGTCTGATATTGACTTGTAACATGGTCGTATGTCAGTGCGATTATAATTTGACCGTTCCGTTACCGCAATTTTAGTTAAGTTACTTTATTAGTTTATTTAAGTTAAGTTAGTTAGTTCAATTCACGGTATTATATTTATACGAATTCACTTTCAAGATGGACAACATACCATCTCCGCTTACTACCAAACCCAAACGGTCGCTGCTATCATAGTCTAATTCTCCTATCCATACGGGGAAAAGCACTAAACCATTAGTTTCGTATAATCGTTTCGCTGTCTTTTCAAGCGAAGTGGACAAAGAAATCAAACTCGACACCTCTTGTGACGTTCATAATATAACCAAAGAATCTATTGTTTACTATCAATATAAAAACATCAGGTCACTAAATATATCAGATGCCCTATTGGAATTAGATACCCGCAAAAGAATTAAGAATGTCATTCAAAATGGCCATACGCTTCCGCTGTTCTTTGTTGCAATTAATCCAAATACAAATGATAAAAAAATTCTTAATGAATCATCAATGTTGCACACAAAAGTTTAAGTTGAATTACCCAATAAGACTTAGTGATTCACCTCAGTGTCTGAAATGATATAGCTATGGTCACAATGTTAACTATTACCATCACCATACCGGAAATAATGGTGACCCTTCATCCTTCACACTGTGTTAAACGCAAAGGAAATTAATTCTGAAACAGTTACATCAAAGCAGTGGCGCAACCAGGGGGGTGGACTCCGGGTCTGGACCCCCCCCCCCCC